TCTTTTCTATTTTTTTTTTTTTTTTTTTTTAGTTTTGACTTTTTTTTTGTTTGCAAAGGGAGTTACAGAAGACTTCAAAAATATTCTGTGTGGTTATTTTGGTCATTCTTCTTTTCTTTGGTTTATACTTTGTTTCCCTCGATCGTTGGCAAGTTGAATACAAATTAAAACCTAGACGTGATCCTTTCTCCTTTACGATCCTGTTTCGTTCGATCTTTCTCCTCGTTCCCTTCTATCTCTTTTCATTTGTTTCTTTTTCTCTGTTTCTTTGTTTTCGTGTTGGTTTCGCTCGTTCGTTTCGCTCGTTCGTTTAATATCAGGCAATTTCTGTTACCTTTCTCGCTGGTTAATTCCTGGTTGCGAACACTTACCATTATTCCGCTAGTTTCTGAAAATTGAGCAACATGTCGCAAAGGAGGATCTACACAGCCTCCCGACGTTTGTATTTTCGCCTCGTATTTCTCTCTTATTCGATCGCTCGTGGCGCGTTTGCTCGAACCTCGGTACAGGGAGTCGCATGGTTTCTCTTACTTATTTTTTCTTTTTTTTATATACGTGTCGGTGAGTTGGGAAAAACCGTTCAAAATCGAGCGTAGAACACGCGCGTGCTCGCTGAAACTCCGCGACAAAAAGTATTGTGCGCGGTTGAAAAATAATCTCCTTTGTAAGTTACTTTTAAAGACAGTTTAGAATCGTTTTATTTCGATGGAAAATCCGTTTACACAGAGCGCTGCGTAAGGAAGTAATCGTCGAAAAATGAAAAAAAACGACGATTTTACTTATGGAACTTCTGTTTAAATATTCATAGTACATCGTATACGCTGTTAAAATAACCCATCCGAACTTGCCCACAAAAATCAAATTTCCTTAGCTCATTGAATAGACGATGATTAAAAAGAACATTGATAACCAATAGTCAAGCGAAGAATTTGTATATTTAAGAAAATTTTAATTCAGATATGGACTGTTATTTTTTTTTTCTTTTTTATCGTTTGCTTATATTTATCTCTTCGTCATTTAAAACACGTAAGTCGTAATCGCTCTTTACAATGATTATCGTTGTAGCATGTATTCGCGCGAAAGGTAAACGATACAATTCCTCATTCACAGGCGATATTTAATTATTCAACATACTTTCGATCGATCTGACGTTGCAAAAGTGATACATCTCGACGGTTCATTCAGCCCATTCACTTTCACTTTCATGAATATATTACACGCAAGTAGTACGAGTCAGCTAATAGTTGGACTCTGTCGTACGGATCGCAAATTTCAGCGTGTCAAAAGTAACGCTTTCGTCGGCATTTTATTATCCTCGCATCTTCTTACCTTTCGGTATCAAAGTCTGAGAACAGCTCGTTCTTTCCGAACCGATTAAAAATTATATAAAATTCAATTATCAGCCGATAATTTCTTATTCTTCTAAAGATTCCTAATTCCTCTAAAGACGCGCTGCTTCTCAATTTCTTTTTGATATTAGACCATGATTTTAACCATAACTAATCGTTACTTTATAGCAAATTATATTCACTTTAATAAAGACGAATATTTGACGCTGCGAAACTGCCATTCACTCGATATCGATCTCTTAACGTAACCGCATTTCAGAAGCTTTTCTATCGCATCACCGTCGTATCGGACGCAAAATTTTGCGACATTATGTAAACCCTATACTCGTTAATCCTCAGTTCGAAAGACTGATATCGATGTCGGAGTCGAAATGAAACTTTTATTGCGAACGAACCGTATCTTTGAATCGAAATTAAAGTTCGTTCGACAAGCGTATTGTACGACAACAGACGCGAGCAATTAATATTTGTTAAGAAATATCAACGAAATACAAAAGAAGAAAGATCGTCGTTCGCAGGTAGAAAATCGCATTTTTCAATGCCCGCTTCGAGCAAGTGGCGAATGCAACTCGCAAACGCCAATTTAGCGCAATACACAACGTGCTATCTTCGAACCCAATACCTTTCTATATCGTGATTTCGCTATCATAGGCTGGAAGATGTTTTTCGTAGCTGAATTAAATGATCGTATGCGTGACAGAGAAGATATTGAACTCAGAGAAAGAGCGAAGAAAGAGAAAGGAAAGAACGAATGAAAGAAGAAAAAAAAATAATACGAAAAAAGGTAGATGAAACGAAGATGAGAGAATAAAAGGGAGAAGATCGTTCCATTGAAACGAACGGTACATACCATGTCGTCCTTTTAAACGTTTCCCTTTAAGGAAAAACATAGGAGATGTTGCTGCATGGAAAAAGTGATTTTTTTTCTATACATAATCGCAGTCAAGCCTTCTAGAGCGACGAGCTAAAAGCATATTTCCACGATTTTCCTTCGAATGCCCTTTCTATCCCTTCTTTCTTTAAGAGGAACAACGATATAACTTGCTGGAGAAAATTCGCTTAAGCGCGTTGATTAAAAAGATTTTATTATCGTA